TTGTACAAGAATAATGAGCTTTCGTTACTACAAAACAGCACGAGAGGACGTTTGAAATTCTTTAACCTCAAAAATGGCCTATTGTTAATCCTCGTCGGGAATGAAGCATTTCGTATTTAGGAGAGCATTCTTTACGATCCTGTTTTTCAACATCCTGATATGGGACTTATGTGTTTCACAAACAAACCATGGAAGCCCTAATCTGTGATAGGAATTTATAGGTGAGATGAGGTATGATTATCTGCCCTAAATTCATTCCTATCAAACATATCTCATTCTGCTAATAAAAGACAGCATCCTTTTCTTTGAAACTTTGAAAACCACAATTCATGGGGTGGCACGGAACGATCATCTAAAAWAATTATTTCAATTTCAATGCAGAGCGCCAAGATTRATCTGGTTTTTTATTTTCGATTTATTTTCGGTTTTTTATTTTCAATTTTCGTCTATTRAACAAGCAATTAACTACGCATTATCATGCCATTATGGACTATATTGTTAACTTTAATAATTTTTATATTGGATWTTTCAATTTTTTTTAATTCAACAAATATTATTGAATGAATTCAAACGGAGTTACGTCATTGCAATTTCTTTAGCAATGAAGTTCGTTACGTTTTGCTTGATCACGGCGGTTCTTTTTCAGTAATACAGAGTGGACATCATTGATACCATCATCTAGTGATTCTCCTCTCCAGACCGACTTCCAGTTCTTCCGMTTGCCGGAACACGAACACGACAATCCAGAAAGTTCGCATGATGCGTCTTCCCAGTCATCGTCTTTCTCGACTACTTCGGCTGTTGTCTTTGTCTCTCCAGAGGGGAGGTCTTTTTCTTTGTACCGTATACAAGACTCRCCATAGCATGAACACCAGAATGCGGCCCGGTAGTGACAGTCATCTTCAGACTGGCATCCTTCTGGACGAAGTTTGCACACGTAAGTTGGGGATTCTGGATCGCTGTCTTCATCAAGATCGAATTTTTGTTTTTCTAGACCGCCGCTGGTTTTTTCGTAGGCGCAACCGTAATTAAGATAGCCTTTGAAATACTGCTCCAGATTAACTGCCTTAGCGTAGTGGTCCTTTCCAATATACCTAGCGATTGAAAAATATTTGCGACAAGATTATACCATGTACATGTCACTCCCCCCCCCCAAAAAAAAAATGTACAGAACAAAGAAAGTTACCTGATTTTGAGAATTTTCCATATTGGTTCAAAGTGATATTTGATAGGCGATGGGTTTCTTTTTGCTTGCTTCATAAATTTGTTGATTTGCTTTGGTGACAGCTTACCCGACAATTTAGCCCTTGTCTTTGATTTACCACCTCGGACGACTAACTTCGTTTTCATTGATTGTGAGGAGGATTTGTCGATATCCTTTTTAGAGACTTCAGAACAAGCAGAAACCCCAACTTCTCCAGCTTGCGAAGGACCCGCCAATGAAAGACAAGCCTTGACAGTAAAGTCTTTCTGGGTGAACTTCTTGTCGGACTCAGCAAAGACATATTGGTAGATACTAGAGCCTGAGATTACCTCTTTGACAATGTGGGATCCGTACTTCGACAAAAATACGTTGTATTCTCTCCAGGACGCCTTCTTCCATGGTTTATCAACCTTCTTGGGGAGAGCTTCAAAGTCTTTTACAATATCTTTAGTCAAAGCTTTCTCGTTTATGCAGTCTTTCTTGAGCCCAGAGGAATAGCTATAAGCGTTGAAATTAAGCGACGTGCCTTGAATATTTTTCTCCCCTGATGCAATGTTGTTTGTGGCGGCTTCTACGGACGCACCTAGAGTGTATACACCTTCCAAGCTCGCCTCAACCTTTGTGTTAGTTGAAACTGATTGGTAAAGTGACTTGGTACTGCTGTAAAATGTAGAATCTTTTTGGATTTGACCAAGTTTGTCGCTTTTCACACATTCTTTTAATGGAAGGTCCTCGAAGATTTTTGCTCCCGTTGATTTGAATTGCTTGGTYAGTAAATCTTCTTTATGGATTTCAAATCCTTGACCAAGGGCTCCTCTTGAGGCTTTTGAAAGTTTAGCTTTAATTTTGATTTTCTTTGGTTTTTGCCGGCGGCGGCCAGGGTCAGATTCTGGTTGGTCGTCGGGATCTTGTTCGATTTGGCCGCTTCGTGCTTCTAGTCCCAAAAAGACTACTAACAACAGAATAATTGCAAACTTTGGACTCATAATGGTTCCCAGAAGAAACTAAAATCAAAAAAGACGATTAGCATGTTATTTCAATACCTTTTTTAGTACACGACGAAAATGAATAATAATAAAAAAGTTATTAAGACGGTCATATATTGTAATTTTAACATTGGATTATTACAGTATTATCTTCAAAGAAATTCACAAAATGGTATTACCTTTCAGCTCTACACTTAGACTATAGAAACAGTATTTCTCATATGAGCAAGCCGTGAATATACCTACCGTGTTGTGGGTCAGGAAGTGAGTGGATGTACTGGCATTTGACTACAGATTACCTACTAATATTCCATGATATCATTATTACTGTATTCTCTGGGGTCAATCGTTGGATAGTCCGATTGGCTAAGCAAATCAGTCATAGTGCGGTATTTACGGGACAAAAGTTGTTGGGTGGGGCCAATTTACAAATGACCAGTCAAACGTCTTACGATCTCTGCGGGATACATCGTCAAGAATATTATCTTGTACAATAGAACATAAAGAAAAGTGTCACAGAGCTGTAAGTAATTTTGTTATGAAAATAACAAATAAGTTACAATTAATTACAATTATCTTATTATATTCAAAGTGGCTTTGGAGATTTCCCACATTACAATTAAATTCTATTTCACCCGCGAGCGGTTTTACAAAGGATTGATAAGGTTATCCACTCCATAGATTTTGCATGGAYTTTATTCRCTGGATAGGGATTTAAKGGGTGRCTTGCGCTTTTCATCCTTGATATTCTTTCACGTAATGGAAAGCACAATCGTAAAACACATTTGAAGTAATAAAGTGACTTCTCGTTTAAATGGAAAATATTATCAATTACGAAGCCTTTAGAGTGCAGTAGCATTAAAATCTGATAACAAATATAATTATGTAAACCGCGTATCATTAGAAATACATGAATTAAAATAATAGTGGAAATATATAGTGCTGAGAAACGAGGTTATTGCAGGCCTATGAAATATATCTACAACTTCTATTTCTGGTAATAAAAAACTAAACAGAACAAGAGTGGCTATGAAGCTTTTTTCTTAGAATTAAAAAAGGCAAGAACATAATGAGGCCGGTTTTAATTWAAGAGAGMCAMTACTAGCTTGGTTTTGAAGTATAAGCACTGGAAGCACACTGAACATTTCAGATAAAATGTATTTCTAATTCTGTCACGAAGAKTTGTTTGGAAATTTACTCCACAATAGTCGAATTGTAATAACTGTCACRAACGAAAAAGACAACGTTATATCGTGTACTGCCAACTATACTTTTCCCGTGGGTCATTTYATSTGTGCCATATTTGTTTAKAAAATCTTTCGTATCATAGCTCAAAACAATGGTCRACTTATAATAGTACGGTTAGCTAATGGACAAAGGTCAGTAGGTGGGGTCAATTCATAGATGACCAGTTTAAGCGGATCTTTCAATCTCTGCGGGATCCCGCAATCACAGAAAAGTGAACAATAAAAAATGTATAGAAAGGAAAATCTGATTTCAAAAWTGTTTACTACCTGTTGTGATTAACCAATTCTTTATTGCTTGCAATAATTAGAAAGACAATCGCCTTTTCACTAAGACAGTGTTTTCAAGAAACGATGATTCATTTACAAATTTCAAGTTAAAGGAAATATGTTCATGATTTCTGATTCTCTATGTGAGAATTAAAGGATTCCTAATTCCCTGTTTTTCTTTTTCTTTTTGCGCTAAGATTCATGATTCCTCAATAGTTTAGAAGCATGATTCCGGATTCCGCTTCCATCCCCGAAAGCAGTGTGCAGTTGCATCGTTCTAAATCTAAGAGTTTGGGATGATGATTTTGCATTAAGATTATTCAGGTAGTGTACGATCTCTTGTTGCAAAGCTTAATGGGAATACGAGTCATTTGATATGAGTTCTTTGTAGTCCACAGACCATTCTAATATAAAAAGCTTAAGTTAATATTTGTCCGCGACGCTTTCCGTCGCTAATTATGCAAATAAGGTCAATTTTGTTTTCCGCTTTACAGTATTAAAATGACAGAAAAATAGTTTTTTGCAAATAATGTAGTTAAGAAACGATAGTTACACCTTTTTAAAAGCAAAAATGTGTTAAGATATGCGAGAAAGGGATTTTTTTACTAAGGAGGGAGCGCGCGCTAGCAACTTGAAAACAATGCATGCTCGCGTCATTTTCAACCAATCACGAATCGAGAAATAACGCATCCCCAGAGTCCGTCACGCATTGACATCCGCTGGATGACAAAAGGTTTACTTGATTGCATAAKTGTTTTTCTTGAGGTTGCCTTTACTTCGGCGGCTAGTAGTGTGGTTTAGTTTTATATAACTTTTTTTGAGAACCAATATGAGAGAGAGATATGTTCGAGCATCCATCTTGCGCTTACGTGAGAGGAAATGTCTCATATCCAGGTCTAATTGTCAAAGTCTTTCAAGTAAAAGTTTTTATTTGCATGCTCAACAGGTAAATGGAGTCYACCTGTCTTCAATTAAAACTCCCAGTTKCTGTTCAYTACTTAAAGAATTAAATATTTTTCGCTTTTGTGGCAAACGTGCTGGTCGTCGCCTTCGCACTACGTATTTCCTAAAATAAAGAATAATTTCAATCAACCAATGATAGTCCTGTTGCTTAGGTTTTCTTACATTTGTATAGAGAGAGTGGTGACTGGGTCTACTACAATATGATATTTGAATAAAGGACGTTTTTCCATGTTTTAAGGATGATTGTGTCCTTTGATTTTACCGTGGAGTACTTTTATTGGTTTAGCAAATCAGTGCTATAGTGGTACGTTGTTTTCGCAAGTTGATTGGTGGGTGGGGTCAATTGACAGATGACCAGTAAAACGTTTTACGATCTCTGCGGGTTCCTTTACAATAGAAACATGTACACTAAAAGATAAAGAAAATATAAGAAAAGAAATCATCATAAAAAAAGTGAACTTCATTTTTTTAAAAAGCGATCTAAAGGTTTGGATTATACTCCATCGATGTCCTGCAGATAAACTTCGATGAGCTTGGATAAATAATCCATAAAATGCATTTGTTTAATTTCTAAACGTATTTTGCTCGAACTTAAATTCATTTTTGAAATTGAACATTAAACTTAATTTGCTCTTAACTTGAATTTATTACAGATAATGCAATTCCATTATACTTTACATTGATTTGCAACATCCTCGTGCTTCAATATTGATAAATTAGTCTTAGCAATGCAGGTGATTGCGTTTTGCTTGATCACGGCGTTTTTTGTCCAACAACTTCCAGTGGACATCTCTCAGTGCGTTATCGAGATCTTCTCCTCGCCAGGCTGACTCCCAGCTCTGCCTTGGCTCTTTACAATAGCAGCTAAGTCCAATTCCACCAAGTTTGCATCCTTGCCAGCCCCATCCTTTTCCTTTGTAAGCATAAGCCTCTTTCTTGATCCCTCCAGCCTTGAGTTGAGTGTCTTTGTACTTTACACAAGAATCACCGGAGCATGAGCACCAGTAGGCATGCTCATAATGGCAGTCATCGTTAACTTTGCATCCTTCTGGACCAAGCTTGCATACGTACGTTGGGGATTCTGGGTCGCTGTCTTCAGCAAGGTCGAATTTCTGGATTTCTTTACCGTTGCTGGTTTGTTTGTAGTCGCAACCAAAATGRAGAAAGCCTTTGTAAAACTGCTCCAAATTAGCTGCTTTGGGGTAGTGATCCTTTTCGTCAATATATCTTAATTGAAAAACATAAAACATTAATTCTATTAGTCCATAGAATAAAATCTTTGGCAGAGTTGTCGCGGAGTGAAGTAGTAAGAGGCACACAGAAGAAAGAAAAWGAAAAAGATTTGAAAAGGCTAACCCGATAATGGAAAATTGTGCATGATACAAAATGTAATAATGAATATTTCTCTGAATGCTGTTAAGATACTGTACCTGGTTTTGAGAAGAGTCCATATCGGATAAAAGTGATATTGAATAGGTGATGGGTCGGTTTCGGCTTCCTTCAAAAACTTGTTGATTTGCTCTGCTGAAAGCTCACCGGTCAATTCTGCTCGTGTCTCCGATTTACCACCTCGGACGACTAACTTCTTTGTCATTGATTGTGAGGAGGATTTCGCGATGTCCTTTTTGGTCACTCCGGAACAAGCGGAAACTTCTGCTTTTCCTGCTTGCGTTGGACCAGCTAATGACAGGCAAGCCTTGACAGTGAAATCTTTCTGGCTGAACTTCTTGTCAGATTTGGCAAAGACATATTGATAGATACTGGAGCCTGAAATTGACTCTTTGACAAAGTGGGATCCATACTTTTCCAGAAATGTGCTGTATTTTCTCCAGGAAGTTAGTTTCCATGGTCGTTCAATTTTCTTAGGTAGAGCTTCAAAGTCTTTTACGAGATCTTTAACCAAGGGTTTATTGATAATGCAGTCCTTCTTGAGGGCAGATGACAAGCCATAAGCTCTGAAATTAAGCGACATACCTTGAATGTTGGTTTCACTTGAACCAATGTTGTTTGTGACGGCYTCYACGGATGCACCAAGAGTGTATGCACCTTTTAGGCTCCCACTGACCTTGGTGTTGGTAGAAATTGAATTGTAAAGGGACTCGGTACTGCTATAGAATGAGTCATCCTTTTGGATAGCACCAAGTTTATCACTTTTCGTACATTCTTCGATTGGAAGGTCCTCGAAGATTTTTGATCCCGTTGCTTTAAATTGCTTGGTTAGTAAATCTTGTTTATTGATTTGAAATCCTTGACCAAGGGCTCCTCTTGAGGAAGCGGAAGGTTCGGCTTTTATTTCCACTTTCTCTGGTTCATTTTCAGGGTCAGATTCCACTTGGTAGTTGGGATCTTTTTCTATTGATGTGCTTTGCGCTGTTATTGTGAAGACCAGTAATAACAAAAGAGTTGTAGTCTTGAAATATGGAYTCATAATTGTTCCTTAAAGAAACTAATATCAAAAAAGACGTTTAGCATGTTCCTTCGATGCATTTTCAGTTATACAAGCGGATTCATAATCAGCTGGGTCKGAGCTTTAAAATGATACCAAGAACACCTTGCCACCCTTGGGGTGTAGCCAAATCGAAAAAATATGGCCTTGGCTTCTAGACTATATATAGTACAATATGAAAATAATTGAAACAAAAGCGGCACTAAAATATAAGAATCAAAAGCATCAGCATTTGTTGTTTTACTGCGAATTTTGAAAAAAA